GCCATATTGACGATTTCTAGTTAAAGTAATTTTCATTGCTATCATACACGAACAGCCATTCTCTTAAAAGGCACATTTCGTGCTGGCATATAAAACGTAGTTTCCGAGACCCGCATATACGCGCATTTTAGCACGAGTATAGATGGGTCCTTGAAGGACGCGTATATTTGGGCATTTATTTCGCATATCCCCGCGCTTGAATTTACGCAAATATGTGGCCATTTAAAAATGCGTATATACGCGATCTAAATGGTCGTATACATGAGCTTAAAGCCCATACGTAACGTATGTAAACAAGTATACGCGGCAGAAAAACCCGCGTATACTCTGTCGTAATTTTGAAACGAATGGCCAACCATACGTTACATGTCATATGATCACACAATATGAGCACTACGGGTCAGTTAAGTTGAAAGTTTGATTGAGTCCCGAAAATCTCGATCCGTTGACCCTTCATCTCGTCGTAACGAGATGGAAAATCACAACTCTTTGCAAACTAAATGAAGATTTACATAAGTTTCCCTAGCTCTCTTGCAGCTACCAAAATCCGGTAATTCAAAAGAAAAATGGGAATAATCTCAGTCGTAAAATATCTGCGTAATTTAAGCTTACTTCATAAAAACACATTATTAAGTTAATGTGGTAGAAATAAATAAAAAAAAGAGAAAAACTCTCCATCATCCTCACTTGCCATGTTACATTACAAAACACATGAAGACCGCATTTAATAAATATCATATTAGAGCATTATGCCAGGTTTTGGATTTTTTGGCGGGAATCTCTCTGGCCTCGCATAAAGAGGCTCTGGCTTGCAAACTTGCAAAGTAGCCTCGCCCAAAAATATATTTAGAAACTTTTGAGAATCATTACTAACTAAATGCCATGTGTTAGAGGGAAAAAGCCTTTCATAAACCCTAATATCCTTAATTAAGGAGGTTTGATGCAAACATCTTCTCATCGTAAAATTGTGTGCCATGTGATTGCAGATCTTTGCAGGCACAATTATAAATTGTCTCGGATTGTCTGCAGTAGTTTTCATTTCAAATGGATATAGGAATTATGTAATAATATATATATGTGAACGGGCAGAATCACAAACAAATCTGTACACTATGGCTCTTTACACAAGTGGCCCATCAGGCTGGCGCTTATCTCCAGTTTCTGTAGCATGAAGGGACTAGGAGTATATCTGCTCCCCCCTAGATGGGATGCTGGTCCATCGCACGGTTACCCCCAGCATTAAATTCGCCGGTACCCATTTATACGCCTGGGTGGATTAAGGCACTGTGAGAGTAAAGTGTCTTGCCCAAGAACACAACACAATGTCTCCGGCCAGGGCTCGAACTCGGACCGCTCGATCCGGAATGCAGCGCATTAGCCATGAGGTAGCCGCACCTCCCAAAGTGGTGCAAGTAGTCTGACTATAATAATTATAAGATGAAAAAAGTACCCGAAGTAGATGTATGGAAAGAAGATAGATCTGCACAAAATTAACACAAGTTTAATACAGTAAGCAGTTTTGTTTTGTATGGAAAGAAGATACATCTGAACAAAATTAGTACTATTGTAACATTAACAAGTACAGTGTAGTTTTGTTGATTTAATTGCAGATTCTCCTTCAACTAGCACGTGGGATATTTGAAGAGCAAAGTAACCTTGATATATGTGTTCATAACATTATGGTTGAGGCACAAGAATTACTTGATGTTGAAAGATGTATGGTTTTCCTTATTGATGACTCATGTGAAAGTGTAGGTATACTTTGAAGCTGGTGAATAGAATGTACTGAAATTCAATTTAAACAAGGTGTTTAAAGGCTACAGCTGCAGGCAGTATGTAGCTGGAACTGTTGTTGACAAAAGCAAAGTAAATATAAATATTTTCATGGAATGATTTAAGAATTTTCGCAAAGTGACTTTATGTATCCAATAAAATATGTGTTGTGGTTCAATTTTATTCTTGGTATAATCTGGTATTTTCTTTTGGTTTGGTTATGGCAATACATGTATCAATTATAATGTATATGAAACAATGGAAAATGCCAAATTGTAACGAGGGTTAGTATTGAAATACAACATATATAGATACCAAATTTCATATAGCTGTTATGAAGGAAGTATAAAATAGCAATTAAACAGAGTTTGTACATAATTTTTAAGACCTGTTTCTACACAGCAAGACGTGATCTTCTCCAAGGCATTTGATCTACATCCAGGAGCTGTGGAAGAGACAGGACCTACGTAGGTTTAATAAAAATGTTTAATAAGTTAATAAGCAATATTTTATTATTAGACATATGCCAATAACTGTCCCAGATCTAAACCAAATCTTCTCCAAGCATAACCAACGAAATTGACGCTAGGTTCAAGTGCATTTCATAATTTTCATCATGGTGAAAACAACAGAAATTTGGCACGTGCTTGTGTATGAGCGACTCATTGTAATACTTATATCGTATGGTGATAGTAGTGAGGAATGTCATTAAAGATTTTTCTTTGGTAATGACTATTAGTATTGGACTGGATCGAAGGCTTTGCGCATTTTTCAGTTTTGTTTATAACTCATGGAATATACCACAAGAAATTCACCTTTTACATCATGAAAATGAAGGTCTAGCATTGCAGTAAACAGTTTGTACATGTAACACTTCCCTTAATTCCCTCAGAAAGTTCCTTTCTTGTTTGATTACAATTTAGTGAGAGGCGAGAGAGGCAAAATTTTTCAATTGTGTTTTGATATCAGATTTTGAGAGATTGAACTAATTGAGCTAAATATATTTAACCATGAAAAGCATTTATTTGTTGTTGTTATTTAGGTAATCGGTATGAAGTAATACAGTAGTTTGATACCACCTTATTTTTGCAGAACAAGTAAAACGCACTGGTCAATGAATACAGGAATTGCTGCATTAGTGGCAGGTAGTGGCAAGGTAAAGATAATCTATTTGAAATTGTTATTTTGTCACTCCTTTTTTTCCTGTTGGAAGTTAACAGGATGTCGCTTATGTATAATTCAACCACTTTGTTTCTTTTCTTAATGACCATGCCAGGACTGTAAATTTTACAAGAATTAAATCCGAGATGTCAGGGTGATGAACACAATCAAAATTAACGTTGATTTTAGAGACGTTTAAAATGTTTAAAGTAAATTAATTACCAGTGACATTGCAGCTGCAATACACTGACTACTTCAAACCTTCAAGTTTGTTTGTGATCTAAGGCCAAAAAAAGGCTTGCGGCCCTACTTGAAAAATGTGCACCCCAGAGATACGTACTAAATTAATTTCAACAAGATGAAATTTGAAGTTATCATTTTCTTCTTCATATTTGAATTTATAATTAAGAAGAGTGAAGACTCCAATATTTTTAACACTTTACTATTAGTTAACCAAAAGGGAGCCCACAAACCTCTTTATTCTAAGAAAGAGCTTGCAAAAGAGAGGATGGATGTATTAAAACCAACTAACATGTGTTGTTTTGTTATTAGGCTGTAAACATCCCTGATGCTTATGCTGACAGTCGTTTTAATCCTGAGGTATAAACTGATTGATATGATTCTCATGTTGTATAGGTGCCTATTTCCAGCCAGTACAGTACATGTCCAGATGGCATGGGAGCACACTACCAAGAAGTAGTCTGCTGAGTCATCTATAATGAACTGGCAGCTTCAGTACCTCTATTGTGAGAGGGGGTGTTATATTTAGGTGAATTAAAGGGGTGGCACGAGGTTAGGATTCCTCAAATCAATTTTAGAAATTAAATTACTTTCAAAGTTGATAACTAATTTAAAAAAAAAACAAGTCTGATCTGTGCTCAGCCTACCCATTAGATATCCTAAATGCATGTACATGAACATTATCTACAAATATTTATATAATTGTATGAAGACCTTTGAAGACCTTTGAAATAATGAAATTAAAACGGCATTACTCTAGTAACAAAACTCTTGCTGGCTGAATTGGGCAACTAAATTTCCTTTAAATTACCGGGAAATTATCACTCCTGTAAGTATGCTGTTTAATTAGCCACATGTAAATGAAGACATTTAAAATAAAAAGTATTCTTCACTTACTCTTGTTTTGTTTCATTTCTTTTAGGCAGATGTTGAAAGTGGTTTTAAAACGAAGTCAATTCTCTGTATGCCAATTTTTGATACACAGCAGAAAATCGTAGGTAAGTGACTTTAAGGTGGCTCTATATAGTATTTCACAAAGCTTTGGATATTAAATATGCATAAGTAATTTCTCCCTTGGCAAATGTTAATAACATAGCACTCGGTAGAAGGTCAATAATAAAAAACCTACAGCCTTAGGCTACGTATGGAAGACACTTTCAGAACCTAAATGTTGTTGCTATGGCAACT